AAAAGCTTTCAAAACTAAAATAGTGATCAACTAATATGGAAGTGAAATGCTGTTTATTTATATAGCTAGCCAAAAAAATGGATAAAAGAAATACATTTTCTTTAGAATTTATCAAATATAAATTCTTATTGGACAAGAACCATGTACTTGCTTTTACGTGGAAGAGTATATCTATACCTTTTAATTTATTATTATTATTATTATTTTTAGGGAGGGAGGGAGTAGGGGTGGGGCAGAGGGAAAGGGAGAGAGAGAATCTTAAGCAGGCTCCACACCCACTGCACAGCCCGACACAGGGCTTGATCATGACCTGAGCCAAAACCAAGAGGCGGGCGCTTAACCAACTGAGCCATCCAGGTGCTCCTATCTGTACCTTTTTAAAAAAGATCTACTGAGTGTGTTGTCATGTATGTGGAACTAAAGTAGAAGTATCCTTGTTTTAAGTTGAGTGCATGTCATTTCAGTTATTTATTTGTTGGTTTAAGGTTAAGGTTTGTTTCCAGCTGGAAACCTCTAATTTGTCCAAGTGATCAGTAACATCATTTGTTGGTCAGTGGCACCTGCTGGTAGTTTATAATTTTCATAGCCCAGCTTGAAAGGCATTGTAAATACATACATAGTAAAGTGAGTAGGAGAGCAAAATTTCCAGAACTTTATAAATAAAGTGACAGAATGATATGGAAGAGAGTCCTATTAGACCAAGGAGAGAGCACAAACTGGAGAGCAATACAGGCACAAAAATGAGTATGTGAAATGTTTAAGGACTGCTAAAATCTCTGCTCAGGTCCTATGATATATGATAGAGAATCCAATAGACTGTTCATATGCAGTGACCTGGGTTGCCATTGTATTTATAAATGAGGATCACAGGGTTTATGAGCTATAGCATAAAATGACATTGAAATCTGGTAGACCCTGGAGTCATTTGAGATTAGCGTCACATTTTTTATCTGATTTCTGATAAATTTGGTAAAGATTTACATGAGTTTTTAAAAGCTGCAGATAGATTTTTAGGGCAGTAAATTTATTCTGTATGATACTGTAATGGTGGATATGTTACGTTTTATGTTTGTCAAAACATAGAACTATACCAGCCAAAGGGTGAACGCTAATGTAAACTATGGACTTTACTTAATAACGTATCAATATTGGACCATCAAATGTACCACCCTAAGGCAAGCTATAAATAATTGGGGAAAATAGGGGTAATGTGATAGGGGAGTATATGGGAACCCCCTCTATTTTATGCTCAGTTTTTCTGTAAACCTAAAACTGCTCTAAAAATAAGTCTGTTAATTAAAAAAAAAAAGCTGCTGATAATGTTGAGACCCAAGCTGCTCTTGGGTCTTTGGGTATGTTCTCGGTCTCCATATCAAACATCATAATCAAAGAAGAAAAGCCAGTATTGGTGAATTAATCCCTTCCTTTTAACTTGGCCTCTGATGCCCACTTTATTTTAGTCTTTCTGTCTAGCATTCAAGGTTGGCTAGCAGCTATCCCATGAGGATTGTCATTATAATTATCCGTTCATAGACCTGGGGAGAATCTGTGGCAGACTTCCCCTTGTGAAATAACACCCTTATCTTCCAAGCTTGAGCAGGGGAGGGAGAATCTTCAAGTGAGGTGGGTATCTGAACATCATGATTCCATTGCTGGATTCAGATGGTACCCCTCCTTCTCAAATTTGACCTAACGTGGACACAGACTATGGCAGGGCTGAATCTAGGCTGTAACGTTGAACAAGACCTTATCAAAAGCTTCAAGATATTAGCCTTTATCTATTCCATGTTTCTGGCTTATTTGGTTGTTCTTTGGAAGAATATAGTCTGTCCTCATGGCCTATATCTATGTGGCATAAGACTTCTTTCCATCTCAGTGGAATTGTTCTTAAACGTATCTCACTGTCTAAGTCTCTCTTCCTGTCCAAGGTTTGCCTTTCTGTACCTCATGCTCTGTTCTAGACCTGCCTTTTTTTCCAAGGTGGAAATGCCTTCAGATGGCCTCTCCCAGATTGTGTGGCCTTACTCTTTGTCTCCAAAAGGACAAAATGCCGGGACTGACATCCACGCAAATCTGTTTCTTTCTGCACAGAATGAATAAAAACCTAGATTAGCATCAGTGCTTCCTGAATTGGAGCTATTCTAATTATCCACCCAGCTACCAACTGGGATTGAGGGTTGTTCTAGGGGAGCTCACTTTCCTAATCTTCAAGGAAAGTTGTCATTTAATGAGGCATACTTTTCATCTTTGAATCATAGTTTTGTAGAGCTAAAAGACATCTCAGGGATCCATCATTTTCAATCTACTTCACTTATTTTATGATACAGAAACAGTCATACAGTTTTAGGTAGTACATGACTTTGCTTAGGTCATAGCTTTGATAGTATTAGCAGAGTAGGGAACCAGAATCTAGTTTAGTGTATCCTAATCCAGTGGTCTTCTTATCCCAAAATGCTGCTTTTGAGAAAAAGTCACCAGAACCAAAAAAGCTCACCGGAAGTTGAGCCTGGAATTTGCTAACTCATCGTTACAAGGTCTTTCTAGCAAAAACATTTTTACTGTAGTTTTTTTGGATTTTTTTCTAAAAAAGTTTTATTTACTTTAGAGAGAGAGAGAAAGAGCTGGGGGAAGAGCAGAGGGAGAGAGAGAATCTCAAGGGGACTCCCTGCTGAGTGAGGAGTCTAATGCGGGGCTTGATTCCACGACCCCAAGATCAAGACCTGACCTGAAATGAAGAGTCGAACACTCAACTGATTGAGCCACCCAGGCACCCCGAGTTTTTTCCTTTAAGATTAAAAAACATTATTGATTTTCTGCTGAGGGTGTTGAGAGTTAGTGGGGAAATATTTTATGCCAGTTTTGCCAGAATTCAAAACAACCTTAGAATAAAGTAAGTGTATCATGAACTCCTTGAGAAGATAATGTGATCTTTAATGTTACATTCATAATTTTAATTAATTCAGTTTTTTGAATATGTGAGATGAGTTTTTTTCCCCTAATATACTCTGAGGTATTTTTGAAAATAAGTGTGTCCAAAGACATAAAACTGGATTATCAGGAAGTCCCATGATAGTGCTTTTTAAGGTAATTGGATTGCCTATTAATTATTATGACTCTTCACGGTAGATGAGGTTTCATTTACAGTTCACTTGAAATTCTGCAGAGGCTGGTCATCCAGTGTTGTTATTATCTGCAGCATGTACTTCTCTATATTCTTGCATTCCTTCTGCCCATCTCATTGTTCTTAAAGATGAAAGGGATTGAAGTAAGTGGGGTGGACTTTTTAAATAAATGTAAGATTTAATGGCAGAGGAGGTCATATTTCACAATGAAATACACAAAAAAAACATTGTTTTTTTATTCCAGGTCCTCATTTCAGACAATTTGAAGTTAGTACTGTGCATCTTTTTCAATAACTATTTGAATACCAAAATAATATACATATGTTGTAGACAATTTGGAAAGTACAGACAAGTACAGAGAAGAAAGTAAAAATCACCACTTGTAATAATAGTATTTAGTGATAGTCACTGTTAATATTTTGGTGGTTGTTTTAGTCATTAGTATATATATTTTGTTTTCTTTTTAATGGGGTTATAATGCATTTGTAACCTTTTTTATATAAATGTACTTCATAGCATCATTTTTAATAGCTGCATATTGTTCTACTGTGTGGCTATACCATGATTTCTTCAAATAGTTCGCTTTTGAAAGACATTCAGCTTGTTTCTAGTTTTTCCCTAAGAAAGCTGTCACTGTTGTAGGCTTCATGATAGAAAAATTTATGATTATTTCTCAGAAGACTTTTAAGAAACTGTTTAAATATTTGTAAGTGAAACCTAAGGCAAAGAAAAGTTAAATAGTAACATAATATTACATAATAAACCAATGACCTTAGGTTAATTCTTAATACAGTATTTAGTTCACATTTATCCTGATACTTCAAATGGCAGTGTTTTTAGATTAAATTACAGTTTGAATTACAAATGATTTAATTTTAGTACAAGCCAGTCTGAAAACTGTTCTTTCTTTTTTTGAAAACTGTTCTTGAGGTTGCACATTAATCTTTCACTTCACATGTCTTCTAGTCCATGTATTTTTCATGACCTTAAAATTAAATCTTTTTTCTTTCATGAGGATTATTTGCTCTCTTTTTAAAAGTTTAAATGATTGAGTAATGTATAGTATACTGATTTTGTAAGTTAAGTATTTTAAATATGTATTTGTCTCAGACTAATCTCACTAAATTTTCTTAATAAATTTATAGGTCTGGCATATTTCTATTATATGAGTCATTTAGAATTGGTTGTTTAGTATAATATGTGGTACTTTATACCACAGAACCATATACTTTAGAAAATGTTCTCTTTAAGCTTCATTTCATTTACTAATGCCATGTTAAATTTTGAATTTTAAGTATATACTTGCACCAGAATAGGATCATTCCATAAGATTTTTTTCTTATATGAATATTGGGAATACTGTTCTTTCTGATCATCAGCTATCTTAGCTATAGCAAACAAAACTAATTTTTGTCAGACCTGCCAAATCAGTTCATGTGACCACCTTTCTTCCCTCTAACCCTATTACCCCTCTACCCCCAATGAAGTGAAAATTACTTCTTTGTGGTAGTTTGTGTGTAAGGGTATTCACCAGATGACCTTTTATTATATTTAGTGGGACAAGTGAGTGTTTCTTCCATAAACTACAGGTTCCTGAAGGAATGGAATTTTTATTCATGTTTGTATCTACCCACTTATATTGTGCTAGGAGTTGGGCCAGATATTTGGGAATCGAATGTTTTGGTGTTCAGTAAATGTTCATTGAGTTAAATTGAATAAAAATGTAGACTTGGTTACTTGATTGCTAGCAGAACTCTGTATTTCCTAAACAAGTTTGTTAATAATCTCAAATTTTCAGGAGCAAATTTGTATTTACTTGAAATTGAGCAGATGGCTTAGTGTCTACCCTTTTCAACTAAGTAAACATTTCTCTTTTAGGATTTGTTCACACAGATATGACGAAAGACTTGAAAGAAGAACATCTAAAGAAAAATATCCCTCTTGGGAGGTTTGGAGAACCTATTGATGTGGCGCATGCGGTTGTGTTTCTTTTAGAATCACCATATATTACAGGGCATGTTCTGGTAGTGGATGGGGGATTACAACTCATGATATAATTTACAGATTATTCAGATATAATAGTGATTATAATCAAGGGCACACTTTGGCTATTGATTTGACAGTCATACCTACATGGGTGACATTTGCTCATCAGACCTACTGATGCTACAAATACTGATTTTCATCTTTATGTGAATATACCTGAAAAGAGCAGTGTGTGACCATTTGTGTTTTCTAAGTGGTATGTACCTTATAGGCTGTAGCAATTTTAGTATATAGACATTTGCAAGTGATATAAACCGACACTATTTTAATTTATATATTTTGTCTCAAAAGTGGCAAAATTATATAATCTAATTAGCATGAGTTATTTTATTCTATCAGTCAAAATTCTCTAGAAGTTAATGTTTGGGCCATTGCTAAGGAGTATTTTAGTTGTCAGTACTTGAGCAGTCCTGCTGGTTAAACATTGTATTCCTTTTCCATATGCCTTAGAAGATCAATTTTTATAAAGGTTGAAAAAAAATTATCATTTTATTTGGCATGAATTTAGAGTCTGGTTTCTTTGCGTGCATTATTCCTGATTAAGCCTCTGGGCAAAATAATTTACAAATGCAAGGGTGGTATAGTTGACCCATTCTTCAGAAATTCTCAAAGATGATGAAGATTAACCCTTAAGGTTTTAGTATCAGGTATAAGAATGAGCTGAGTTCTTATCAACTTAGGAAATAGAAGTAGTTTTTTTGTGTGTGTTTAACCCACAAAACACTCAGTTTAGCAAACTACTTAAAAATAGTATAACAAATAATGACATTTTAAAAATTAAGATTATTTTGTATGAATGAACATAATATGATTTTTACCCTAAAACTTCGGAAATACTTAATTAGTAATGAACAGTCATAAATGATAAATAAATATGCAGTAACAATGAGTAAGATGTCTTCATAAGGAACAGTTAAAGCATTACTTTTAAGAGAAAATATCTGCCTGAGAATAGAGAGGTAAAGACACAAACTGAATGTAAAATATCAGGCAACATTTATTTTGCATTGAACTCTTTTGTGGGGAATAATGTGATATTTTACATAATGTGGGGGATAATGTCACTGGATTCATGTTGATTTTTATTTATCATTTCAAAATATGTTTTAAATGTTTACTGCATCTTAAAAAGTAGTCTTTTTATAATTTTATTGGAGCTGAACATTATTTTATGTAAACAGATTTAATTTTATATTGCAAGTCAGTGCAAAGGTGTGAAGAGGATACTAAATAAATGCAATGTGATAAAGGTAGTAAAAATAAAAAATAAAAGGTAATAAAGTCAGATCTAAATTCTACATCAAGCTTTCTGATTCCTTAAAAGTTATTTTAGGGCAGCTGGGTGGCTCAATCGTTAAGTGTCTGCCATCGGCTCAGGTCATGATCCCAGGATCCTGGGATCAAGCCCCACATAGGGCTCCCTGCTCCGTGGGAAGCCTGCTTCTCCCTCTCCCACTCCCCCTGCTTGTGTTCCTGCTCTTGCTATCTCTTTCTCTGTCAAATAAATAAAATCTTTTAAAAAATTATTTTAAATTTATCTTCAAAATAATCTTAGAGAAGTCTATTTAAGAAGTGAGAAAGTGAGTGCCTGGGTGGCTCAGTTGGTTAAGCGACTGCCTTTGGCTCAGGTCATGATCCTGGAGTCCCGGGATCGAGTCCCGCATCCGGCTCCCTGCTCAGGGGGGGGTCTGCTTCTCCCTCTGACCCTCCCCCCTCTTGTGCTCTCTCTCTCTCAAATAAATAAATAAAATCTTTAAAAAAAAAAAAAAGAAAGTTATTAAGTGTGAGTAAAATGAGTATTATTAATCAAGCTGTTTACTAAATGCAAGCATGGTAATATATAGGATTTATTAGGCATTAGCAGTTCCAGGCACATAAAAGAAATGGAGCAGTCGGGGTGGTTTAAAATGCTGTGGCGTGCTTTTGAGGTAGGAGAGTCTGTGGAGACAGAGTAGGCCGTTTTCTAATGCTGCCTCACCTGCACGGCTTCAGCTACCTGCATTTCTTCATAACATCCTCCTCAGGTTTGACTTTCCTTCTCCAGATAGCTCATCTTCTGAAATCATCAGTGAGGGTGATTTGACTGGGGATTAGGAAGAAAGCAGTATATTTCACTGAATTAATGACATTAAGCTACAGATAGATTTAACCTTTACGTGTATATATTTATACTTTAAATAAAACCTTTTTAGCTGATACACCTCCCTCACCCAGGCCATATCAAAGTAGTAGAATAGGGAAGAGATTTTGAAATAGGTAAATAAGCCTTCACTATTCCACTGCTGGCAAATTCACTTACTCCCACTGACCTGGTAGAATTTGCAATTTAATACTTGCATCCTGTTGCTCAAATCAGTTGGCAGCTGTTGTGTATGTTCAGCCACTCAAGAACTTCAGTGATTTCTTAACAACTTGACAAACATACAGCTGACCTTTGGACAATATGGGTTTGAGCTGTGTGGGTCCACTTATATGCGGGTATTTTACAGTACAGTATTGAAAATGTATTTTATGATTTTCTTAATATTTTCTCTAGCTTGATTGTGAGAATACAATATATACAGCTTACAAAAAAATGTGTTCACTGACTGTTTATGTTATTGGTAAGGCTTCTAGTCCACAGTAGGCTATTAATGGTTAAGTTCTTGGGCATCAGAGTTAATAGGTGGATTTTAGACTGTGCAGGTGATCAGTGCCCCTAACCCCCTGCATTGTTCAAGGGTAAACTGTATTCAGATTATTTAATAATTAAGTTTCTTTTATATCTGTTTTATCTTTGTACTACATTGTAAGCTCCTGAGGGTAGAGACCATACTGTGTTTTCATTCATTTAGCTTATGAACTCAAATATTGGTTGAATACCTGCTAAATATCTGGTACTTCTTTTGATACCCCCACTTTGCCTACTCAGCTCTGAGTATATTGGATATACTCCATAAATACACTGATAAGGGCGCCTGGGTGGCTCAGTTGGTTAAGCGACTGCCTTCGGCTCAGGTCATGATCCCAGGGTCCTGGGATCGAGTCCCGCATCGGGCTCCCTGCTCTGCGGGGAGCCTGCTTCTCCCTTTCCCACTCCCCCTGCTTGTGTTTCCTCTCTCGCTGTGTCTCTCTCTGTCAAATAAATAAATAAAATCTTTAAAAAAAAAAAAATACACTGATAAGCCACTATGATTTTCTGATTCAAGATCATCAGCCCATTACTCTGTGCTATAGTTGGTGGTAGTCATTGAGATATATCTGTTCTGATTCTCAGTATGTATCCTGGAATATTATTTTTTGATCAAATCCCTATGATTTAATCTTTTTGGTAATTTATCTTTTTTAGTCATTTATCTCTAATTTTGATGCTTACTTTCAATTTAAAACTGAATTTGCAATCCTAAGCCAATCAGCTGTTTTCTCTTAGGCAGGATACCTTAGTTCGAGTAATTACCAGAAATTTAACTTAGAATTCTTGGGCTAATAATCCAAAATGGGGGTGGTATCAGTATTACCTGTAGAACTTTTGTTTCCCAAAATAGTTTTTTTAGTTGAAGTATGGTTGACACACAGTTTTGAATTAGTTTCAGTAATTCAACATAGTAACAGTAATTCAACAACTTTATATGTTATGCTGTGCTCACCAAAACTGTTGCTACCATTTGTCACCATATAACACTATTATAATAAATACCATTGACTATATTCCCTATACTGTACCTTTCATTCCTGTAATTTATTCATTTGGTAATTGGAAGCCTGTAGCTCCCACTCCTTTCACCCATTTTTGCCTACCTCCACCCATCAGTTTGATCTTTGTATTTAGGGGTATGTTTTTGCTTTTTGTGTGTGTGTTTTTTTGATTCCACATATAAGTGAAGTCCTATGTTATTTGTCTTTCTCTGACTTATTTCACTTAGCATAATACCCTCTAGGTCCATCCATGGTGTCCCTAATGATAAGATCTCATTCTCTTTATGGCTGAGTAATATTCCATTGTGTATATATATACCACATCTTATTTTTCCATTCCTTTTTGATGGGCACTTGGGTTGCTTTCATATTTTGGCTATTGCAAATAATGCTGCAATAAACAGGGGTGCATATATCTTTTTCAATTAATGTTTTCATTTTCTCCCAGTAGTAGAATTACTAGATAATACGATATTTCAATTTTTAGTTTTTTGAGGAACCTCCATACTGTTTTTCACATTGGCTGCACCAATTTACATGCCCACCAACAGTGTACAAGGGTTCCTTTTTCTCTACGTTCTTGTCAACCCTTGTTTTTTCTTGTCATTTTGATTTTAGCCATCTGACGGGTGTAAGGTGCTATTTCATTGTGGCTTTGATTTGCATTTTCCTGATAATTAGTGATGTTAAGCATCTTTTCATATGTCTGTTGGCCACCTGTGTGTCTTTTTTGGGAAAATGTTGATTCAGGTCCTCTGCCCATTTTTAATGGGATTATTTGGGCGTTTTTTGGTGTTGAGTTATGTAAGTTCTTTATATATATTGGATATTAATCCCTTATTGGATATATTATTTGCAAATATCTTCTCCCACTCAGTACAGTAGGTTGCCTTTGGTTTTGTTGATTTTTTTTTTCCTGTCCAGAAGCTTTTTACTTTGATGTAGTCCCACTAGTTCATTTTTGCTTTTGTTTCCATTGCCTTTGAGATGTGTCTAGCAAGGAGTTGCTGCAGCCAGGGTCACAGAGGTTGCTGCCTGTGTTCTCCTCTAGGATTTTGATGGATTCCTGTCTCACATTGAAGTCCTTCATCCATTTTGAGTTTTTTTTTTATATGGTGTAAGGAAGTGGTCCAGCTTCATTCTTCTGCATGTGGCTATCCAATTTTCCCAACACCAATTGTTGAAGAGACTGTCTTTTTTCCATTGGATACTCTTTCCTGCTTTGTCAAAGATTAGTTGACGATAGAGTTGATCCATTTCTGGGCTCTCTATTCTTTTCCATTGATCTATGTGTCTGTTTTTGTGCCAGTACCATACTGTCTTGATGATGACAGCTTTGTAATAGAGGTTGAAGTCTGGAATTGTGATGCTGCCAGCTTTGTTTTTCTCTTCAACATTCCTTTGGCTACTCGAGGTCTTTTTTGGATCCATACAAATTTTAGGATTATTTGTTCCAGCTCTGTTTTAAAAAACGCTGTTGGTATTTTGATAGGGATTGCATTGAATGTATAGTTTGCTCTAAGTAGCATAGCCATTTTACTAATATTTATTCTTCAGTCCATGAGCATGGAATGTTTTTCCATTTCTTTGTGTCTTCCTCAATTTCTTTCATGGGTGTTCTTAGTTTACAGAGTACAGATCCTTTATCTCTTTGGTTAGGTTTATTCCTAGGTATCTTACGGTTTTTGGTGCAATTGTAAATGGAATCGATTCCTTGATTTCTCTCTCTTCTGCTTCATTGTTAGTGTATAGAAATGCAACTGATTTCTGGGCATTGATTTTATATCCTGCTACTTCACTGGATTTATCAGTTCTTGCAGTTGTTTTTTTTTTTTTTTAGTAGAATCTTTAGGGTTTTCTGTGTATAGCTTCATGTCTGCAAAGAGTGAAAATTTTACTTCTTTTGTACCAATTTGGATGCCTTTTATTTCTTTTTGTTGTCTGATTGCTGTGGCTAGGACTTCCAGTACTATGTTGAATAAAAGTGGTGAGAGCAGACATCTTTGTTGTGTTCCTGACCTTAGGGAAGCTCTCAGTTTTTTCCCCCAATAGTTTATTTTTACTTTTGTTTCCCTTGCCTCAGGGAACCTATCAAGAAAATAGTTGTTACGGCCAGTGTCAGAGAAATTGCTGCTTGTACTCTCCTCTGTGAGTTTTATGGTTTCAGGTCTTGCATTTAGGTCTTTAATCCATTTTCAATTTATTTTTTGTGCGTGGCTGTCCGGTTTTCCCAACACCATTTGTTGAAGAGACTGTCTTTTTCCCATTGGATGTTCTTTCCTGCTTTGTCAAAGATTAATTAATCATATAATTGTGTGTTTATTTCTGGATTTTCTATTTTGTTCTGTTGATCTATGTGTCTGTTTTTGTGCTAGTACCATACTGTTTTGATTACTATAGCTTTGTAATATAACCTGAAATCCAGAATTGTGATGCTTCCAGCTTTGCTTTTCTTTTTCAAGATTGCTTTGGCTATTCAGGTTCTTTAGTGGTTCCATACAAATTTTAGGATTGTTCTAGTTCTGTGAAAAATGCTGGTGGTATTTTGATAGGGCTTGCATTAAATGTGTAGATTGCTTTGGGTAGTTTAAACATTTTAACAGTATTTGTCCTTTTAATCCATGAGCATGGAATGTCTTTCCATTTCTTTATGTTGTCTTTAATTTCTTTCATCACTGTTTTGTAGTTTTCGGAATATAGGTCTTTCACCTCTTTGGTTAGGTTTATTCCTAGGTATCTTACTGTTTTTGGTGTAGTTGTAAATGGGATTGTTTTCTTAATTTGTCTTTTTGCTGCTTCATTATTGGTGTATAGAAATGCAACAGATTTCTGTATACTAATTTTGCGACCTGCTACTTTACTGAATTTGTTTATCAGTTCTTGCAGTTTTTGGTAGATTCTAAGGTTTTTTATGTATAGCCGTATGTCATCTGCAAAAAGTGAAAATTTTACTTCTTCCTTACCAATTTGGATGCCTTTTATTTCTTTTTGTTGTCTGATGGCTGTGGCTAGGACTTCCAGTACTATGTTTTATAAAAGTGGTGAGAATGACCAGATGTCCATCGACAGATGAATGGATAAAGAATATGTTGGTGTATATACACAATGGAATATTATGCAGCCATCAAAAAATTTGAAATCTTGCCATTTGTAACAACGTGGATGGAACTAGAAGGGTATTATGCTAAGCAAAATAAGTCAATCAGAGAAAGACAATTATCATATGATCTCACTGATATGTGGGATTTAAGAAACAAGGCAGAGGATCATAGGGGAAGAGAGGAAAAAATGAAACAAGATGAATCCAGAGAGGGATTCAGCAAACTGAAGGTTGCTGGAGGGGGGAGAGGGTTGGGGGGATGGGTAACTGGGTGATGGACATTGGGGAGGGTATATGTTGTAATGAGCACTGGGTATTATGTAACACTGATGAATCACAGACCTCTACCCCCTGAAACAAATAATACATTATATGTTAATTCATTGAATTTAAATTAAAAGAAGTGGTGAGAGTGGACATCTTTGTCTTGTTCCTGACTTTAGGGGAAAGGCTTTCAGTTTTTCCCCATTGAGGATGATATTATTTGTGGGTTTTTCATATATAGCCTTTATTATATTGAGGTGTGTTCCCTTTAAACCTACTTTGTTGAGGGTTTTTATTATGTATTGATGTTATACTTTGTGAAATGCTTTTTCTTTTTTTTAAAGGTTTTTTTTTTTTTAAGATTTTATTTATTTGAGAGAGAGAGAATGAGAGACAGAGAGCACGAGAGGGAAGAGGGCAGAGGGAGAAGCAGACCCCCTGCCGAGCAGGGAGCCCGATGTGGGACTCGATCCCGGGACTCCAGGATCATGACCTGAGCTGAAGGCAGTCGCTTAACCAACTGAGCCACCCAGGCGCCCTAAAGATTTTATTTATTTGACAGAGAGGGAACACAAGCAGGGGGAGTGGGAGAGGGAGAAGCAGGCCTCCCGCGGAGCAGGGAGCCAATGCAGGGCTCGATCCCAGGACCCTGGGATCATGACCCAGGCCGAAGGCAGACGCTTAACGACTGAGCCACCCAGGCGCCCCGTGAAATGCTTTTTCTGCATATATGGAAATGATCATATGGTTCTTATCCTTTCTCTTATTCATGTGATATATCAGATTGATTGATTTGCAAATATTGAACCACCCTTGCAACCCAGGAATAAATCCCACTTGATCGTGGTAAATGATTTTTTTAATGTATTGTTGGATTTGGTTTGCTAGTATTTTGTTGAGGATTTTTATGTTTATGTTCATCAGAGATATTGGCCTATAGTTCTCTTTTTTGTGGTGTCTTTATCTGGTTTTGGTATCAGGGTAATGCTGGCCTCATAGAATGAATTTGGAAGTTTTTCTTCCTTTTCTATTTTTTGGAGTAATTTGAGAAGAATGGAATAGGTATTAACTCTTATTTAAATTTTTGGTAGAGGGCGCCTGGGTGGCTCAGTCAGTTAAGTGACTGCCTTCAGCTCAGGTCATGATCCTGGAGTCCCAGGATCGAGTCCCGCATCGGGCTCCCTGCTCAGCGGGGAGTCTGCTTCTCCCTCTGACCCTCCTCCCTCTCATGCTCTCTCTCATTCTCTCTCTCACAAATAAATAAATAAAATCTTTAAAAAAAAATTTTTTTTTTTCATAGAATTCACCTGTGAAGCCATCTGCTATTGGACTTTTGTTTGTTGGGAGTTTTTTGATTATTGATTCAATTTTTTTTCTGGTAATTGGTCTGTTCAACTTTTCTATTTCTTCCTGTTTCAGTTTTGGTAGGTTATATTTCTAGGAATTTACCCATTTCTTACAGGCATATAATTTTTCATAATATTTTCTTATAATTGTATTACTGTGGTGTTATTTCCCCTCTCTCATTTGTGATTTTATTTATTTGGGTCTTTTTTTTTTTCTTGATGACTCTGGCTACAAGTTTATCAGTTATATTGTGGTTTTTTTTTTTTTTTCCCCCCACAGAACCAACTCCTGGTTTCATTGACCTGTTGGTTTTTGTTTGTTTGTTTGTTTGTTTTAGTTTCTGTATCATTTATTTCTGCTCTAATCTTAATTATTTTCTTCTTTCTGCTGGTTTTAGATTTTTTTTTTTTTTCTAGCTCCTTTAAGTGGAAGATTAGGTTGTTCAAGATTTTTCTTGCTTCTTGAGGTAGGCCTGTATTGCCATAAACTTCCCTCTTAGGATTGCTTCTGCTGCATCCCAAAGGTTTTTAACCTTTGTGTTTTCTAAAGATATTTATTTATTTATTTATTTATTTATTTATTTATTTATTTAGGAAGATATCTAGTTGTTTATGGATTGGAAAAATTAACATTACATATCCACATTATTCAAAGCCATCTACAGATTCAATGCAATCTCTGTCAAAATTCCAGTGACATTTCTCACAGAAATAGGAAAAACAATCCTTAAATTTGTATAGAACAAAAAAAACCCCAAACCGCCAAAGCAGTCCTGAGAAAGAACAACAAAGGTGGAAGCATCACACTTCCTGTTTTCAAACTGTTACCAAGCTATAGTCACCAAAACAGTATATGGAACTTGCATCAAAACAAACACAAAAGGGGCGCCTGGGTGTCTCAGTCGTTAAGCCTCTGCCTTCGGCTCAGGTCATGATCTCAGGGTCCCGGGATCGAGCCCCGCATCGGGCTCCTCACTCCGCGGGAAGCCTGCTTCTCCCTCTCACACTCCCCTTGCTTGTGTTCCCTCTCTCGCTGTCTCTCTCTCTGGGGCTGAACCGGAATTGTTCCAGAGTCGACACGAGGTTCTCGAGGATCTTCCGGCATTCCTCGGTCTTGGACGTGTCCTCCTCGCTCTCCGACGTGTCCTCCTCGCTCTCCATCAGAGCCAGGGGCTGGCCGCTGTGGCCGGGCGCCTCCCGCACAGCTGCAGGCTTGGGGCAGTTGGGAGTCCAGAACCCGGCGTCCGTTGCCATGGCGACCCCCTTCTGTTGTATCAGAAGCACACACATACAAGGACATCCTCAGAAATAATTGGCTCCAATTTGTGGGAGTTGTCAGCACCAACATTTCCAACAGCTGGAGGAATGAGTCCGTCAGTCCTGAAATGGTGGACAGGATCTAGGCAGGGTACCTTAGCAACAGTACACCTCATTGCCTTCCACAAAGTATAGAGGGAAGGGATACTTCCAGGCCATCGTAGAGTAGAATGTTTCCCCTCTTGCTGCAAGAATGGATTGCATGTTCCCAGAAATACTTTAATGGACTCTAACTCTCCCAAATTGTTTAGTACCTTCGTCGATATGGTCATTACCATTCTTGAGTCACATTCACTGAATTACCACAAGGTGTAGTGTTCATCTGGATCATCAGGGTTTGATTGGGATCTTAAACACAACCGAGGTTGGGATCTCACCATTTGCACCTTAACATCGGCTAGTCACTTACAGAAACAGAAACAGTCCTAGGATCATGAGACTTGGTTAAGAAAGTCTCAACGCCATTCTTTGTAGGCCATGAGCTTGAGGTAGGAGTCACTAGGTTTTCTCTTGGAGCAACATATGTATTGAACAGTGAACTATTATTCATATTTCTAACAGAAGGCAATTCTAGGACAGGGCTCATAGTAATAGTATTAATCAAAGACTTTTTGCTGTGTCTCCACCAGAAGTTTGGTACTGGTCTCTGCCAGCTTCTCATTAGTCTTGTTCAGTTCATTTGTCAATGACGTTCGAACTTTTAATTCTGCTAGGTAGAGTTGCTTGTATTTTTCCAATTCTGTTTTATTAAAATCTTCTTGAGAACTTTTCATTCTGGATAATTCAAATTCCAGTTCTTTAATTCTGAGTTCCATTTGATTTCTTATTGAAACATTATTAGTTTCTCTTAACTGTCCTAAGCGTTCTTGAGATGCTACTTGTGTCTGGAAAAACAGATTGGCTTCTTTTAATTTTTCTGTTATGTCCAATCTTGTTCTTTCTTCAAACTCCCGTTTATATTGTTCTATTTTACTGTATTCTATCATACTGAATTCTACATGACTTCTGAGGTTTACTACTTGTTGTTCCAACTTCTTTTTATTCTTCTTTAGTTTTTCGTATTTCTTCTGCATTTCCTTCATAGATGATAACTCCTGGGTAAGAAGCTGGTTGTTTGCATCCAGGTATAGACATTTTGAAGACGCAGTTTCCAGTTTTGCTTCTGTTTTAGCATATTAATCTGACTATCCATTTCAATTTGATTGGTTTTTGAATTTCCAGGGGAAGTAATCTCTCCATCTTCATATTCACTTAACTTTCTCCTTGTCACATTTAAGAGTTTCTTAAATCTAGTCATCTCTTTTTCTAATTCACCATTTTTCTTCATTTCTTGATCCAAACTACATTCCAGAGATTGTTTCAACTCAATCAATTTCTTTATCTGTCCCTTTTCATCAGACGAACTTGTACTTAACAGGTTTTCCTGAAGTTGTTCATTTTTGTGCGCTTGGTTTTTGACTGTAACTTTTAACTTGGCATTTTCAACTTCAAGCTTTTGCACGTGATCTTTCGACGTCTCAATACATCTTACAGCCTCTGCATGTCGATCTTGTGCTTCTTGCAATTCTCTTTCTACTTTCTCCTTTTCATACTGATACATTCTTTCTTTTAAAAGATTACATTCATTAATTAGCTCTCTATTGCTTGCTTCCAGCCAAAGACCGTGTTTTTCACTTTCAGCTTGAAGTTTTTTTACGATATCCTGAAACTGGTCTTGGATATTAATTACTACATTTTCTTTACTGGCAGCTTTGTTGTGAGCATCATCTAGTTGCTGTTGAAGCAGCATATTTTCACTTTGTAGTTGAGATAATCTCTCCACTAAGGATTCCTGCTTTCCAATGTATTTATTCACTTGATCTTGTTCATTTTGATACATGTGTTCCATTTCCTTTTTCTGACACTGTGTTTGACTTAGGTCTCTTTGTACACATTCTAAAACCAAAGTCTTTTCCCTGAGAGCATCTCTTGTGTGATGGAGCTCAATTTCTAAAGTATTGAATTTAGTTTCAGCTTTAGAAAGGTTTTGAGAAAGAAGCTCATTGTTTTCTTTTAGGTTAGACACATCAAAATTCAGTTTGTCCTGCAGACGAAACCATTCATCTTTTGCTCTCTGGAAAGCAAGTTCTAGGTCTCTTTTTGATGCCTGACTTTGATCATAATCCTCTAGAGCAGTAGCTAGTCTAGCTCGATATGATCCAACTTGTGTGTCCCGTCTTTCTTTGTTTTGCTTTTCATTCTCCAGTTTAGACTTTAGCATTGTATTCTCAGTGGTCAGGGCATTAATCTGTCCACTATATTCTAATATTATTTTTGTTAATGTTTCCTTCTTCAGTTTTATGGTCTTTAGAAGACTGACATTCTTTTCTTTTATAATTTCAATGTCTTCACAATATTTACTTTCCATTTCCTGGTTCTTATTGTTTATTGTGTCTATTTCCAGTCTTAGCATGGCAATTTCATCCTGCCACAAGTGGGTTTTAGGCAACAGATCTTTTTCTTCTTTATGACTATTAGACATCTGATCCAAATTATTTCTCACAGTCCTCAATTCGCACCTACTGTTGCAAGATGAAGTTCAAGTTGTTGTTTCATTTCAACTTCTTTATTAAACTGCTCTTCTTTTTCTCTTGAATTGCTCCCTCATTTTTTCATATAATTTATCAGCATTTCTTCTTTTTTCTTCTTCTTGTTTGAAGGTAAATCTCAAATCGCTAAGTTCTTGTTCCCATTTCACTTTTTGATGCTCCAGTTGCAATTTCAACTCTTTTGTTTCTGATAGCTCCTTTTGTAGTCCATTAACTTTATTTTCCATTTCTTTATTTTTTCTTTTAAGTTGTTTACACTGATTTTTTTTAAGTTCTAATTTTTTATACGAAAGAATCGCATCCTGGGTTTTTAGTAAAGTAGTAGAATCTTTACGATCCTGGCCAACTTGTACAATTAGCGACTCATATACTTAGAGCAAGGCAACTTGGAATCCTCTGAAGCTGTTCCAGATGACTCAGTTAAGTCAAGGTCATCCATAAAATTAATTTGCTTTTTGACCTCTTTCTTTTCATGAGCCGTTTTCTTTGCAGGTCTTACTTCATCCTGATCCATTTCACTTGAAGTGCTGTCATCATTCACTTGTGGTGGATGAGAAGGTAGGGAATCAGCCTTCTCAAGCCCTGGTGTAATCACAGATACTTCTGATGTCCATTTGTCATTTTCATCTCTCCTTACTTCCTTCATATGCAAACCAGGATCACTACCATCAGAATCTTCCTTTTTCCCAACAGGAAAGAGGTGGTTTTCAGTTTTTCCGCTCTCTCTTTGTTGAATTAGTCCAGCAGCAGCAGCAGCAGCGACAGCATATATGTTTTCTAATACTGCCGTCTCATTACTTTGGTTTCTCTTCTTTTCTTCATTAATCTCTTTTTGAAGTTGAACTTTCTTTTTTTCCTCATCCAGGATGTCTATCTGTAACATGCCTATCTCGTTCTTAAACTTTTGAACATCTTGCTGTAATTCTTCTTTTAGACATACTTCTGATGTTCTGTAACTACATGGTGGAGAAGAACTCACATTTTCTAATTCGGGTTCCATACTTCTATAGTTATTAGTACTGTTATTAACTGCACAGAATGGCTTCTGGAACAAGACTTTTGTTTTCTTGTAAATGTTTGTAACGGCAGAACTATGGTGCCTTTTTATTTGAGCCATTTGTCTCATCTCATTGGAGCGGGAAAACCTTTTGTCGAAACGGCTTTCTGAGTCACTAGACTGAGGTATACGTCCAATGTCTAATTTAGAATTAGTGCTATTTTGGTTCATACTTTTTGCCATTTGCACCTCAAACTCTTGGTCTTCTTTCACTTCAAACGTAGCGAGTGGGTTCCTTACTTTTTTAGTTTCTGTATCACTTTTAAAACTCTTTGTTAAAAACATGCTCAGTGTCTGGTTTGTTATCATTTTCACAGTCTGATTTATTTTCACTTAAAAATCAGAAGATGCCTGGCAAGCATATTTGAGACTAGAATTTTTTTGTTCAGGAAATGCCTGAACTACTAGAGGGACAGGCACTGCAAATATATCCTTTTTCTCACAATCAAGTCTATCATTTGTCAAGTTAGAAGGTATTTCCATTAAGTTTGCTCCTTCTTTAAAGTTACCACGTAGTGACTCTTCCTTAGGATAAGGAGCAATTTTATGTTTTTCACAAGTTTCACCAAACGTCCGCTTTAACTCACTGGTGATGTGTTTTAGATTATTTTTCCACACTAATTTGCCTTGTTTGATCGAGATTTCCTCACGCTTTTGCACAGAAGGATGTTCTGAATATACTGATATATTATCCTTTCTATCACATTTCTTATTCATTTCTGGTTCTCGAGACTTTTTTTGCAGATGCAAAAGTGGAACGTTAATTTGCTGGGTTTGATTTTCACATGTCTTTTCTGCCACGATACATGTTTGTGAAATACCTTTATCCTTTAGGTGGTTATTTTCACTTTCATCAAGTCTTTTATGCTCTTCCTCTGATGTCCTTCCTAAGTCTAATTCTGCTGGCCAATCTGAGTTGGATGTTTGTTTTTCCTTGACTTCTACTGTTTTCTTAGGAACAGAATCTTTCACTTCAACGGTAGGCTTCACATAAGGATATCTTTTCGGAGAATCTTCTACTTGTTCATTTAATATACGTGGTCCTTTCTGATCCGCAGCTCCAAATAAATGTTTAACGTCTTTCTTTAGAAGACTCTCAGAAATACTCAGAATCCCAAGGTGATTCTCCATCTTCCTCTTCTCCTAATCCCAATGCTGACATCGTAACACTACTATTACTTTGTATGCTCTATCAGCAGAAGTCAGATGGTCATTAACTGTTTGCTCTTGTGGAGCACTTTCAGTAATATTAATACCATTGTCCTTTTTTCCAGTTGCCGGCTGCACCTCTCCTTCCTTTGTAACACCATGGCCTGCTAACGACTTGACAGAAGGTTTTGAAAAAGCAAGACAAGAAAAGTCATTGGCTTTGAATGGTAGTTTGTAAAGAAGTCCAACTATATTTTCATCTTCATAATTAGAATTATCATGCTCAGATAAAGTTCTACCTCCTAGTGTTATAAGGCCACATTTTGTTCCCACATTCTTGAATTGCTCAGAAGCATTCATTAGCGCTCTTAAGTTTGGTTTTGGGACAGTCTTGATATCAAAATTAAAGTCTTCATCATCTGATGTAGGCCATGAATCATCAGTACCTGGTTTAATGGAAATACTGCTTAAAGACTCTTCTTCAGAATTCTTATCTGCCACTGCATTCTTACTTTGCAAATCATTGTTAAGTTTTTCTTCTCTATGTTCGGCAATTAGTTGGCGACTGACTTGAAGATCATTAAAAATAGAATATTCTTTTGCAGTCCATCCACACGCATCTTCAGAAAAGATATTAATACCTTGCTGAAGAAGAACCCTGACTAGATCTGCAGAATCATAATGTACAGCAAGCATGAGGGCTGTTCTGGATGTAGTTGTTTTCACAGTAGTCCGCCACCCGGGTCAGATTCTGGTAACTCTCTATCAGCGCCCTCTTGCCAGACGGGATCTCCTCCTCTAGTAACATCTGCAGCTCTGCCATTTTCCACCCCTCTGCATCGCTTCCTCTCGCGTTAAAGAGACAGAGGCAGCAAGGTCCGCTGAGGAGCCGAGCACCTCACAGCCCGGATACAAACCGCCTACCGCCCTCCCGCCTGGTATTGTCTATTTATTTATTTATTTATTTAATTAGAGAGAGAGAGAGAGCAAGTGCGAGAGCACAAGCAGGGGGAGCGGCAGGCAGAGGGAGAAACAGGCTCCCACTAAGAAGGAACCCAATGCGGGACTCGATCCCAGGACCCTGGGATCATGACCTGAGCTGAAGGCAGACACTTAACCGACTGAGCACCCAGGCATCCCAACCTTTGTGTTTTCATTTTTATTTGTTTTGATGTACTTTTTTTATTATTTTATTTACTTTTTGATCCATTCATTGTTTAGTAGCATGTTACTTAACCTCTATGTATTTGTGTTCTTTCCAGGTTTTTTCTTGTGGTTGACTTCTAGTTTCATTGCATTGTGGTCAGAAAAAATGCATGGTATGACTTCGATCTTCTTGAATTTGTTGAGGCTTTTTTTGTGGCCTAATATGTGATCTCTTCTGAAAAATGTTCTGTGTGCATTTGAAAAGGAATGTGTTTTCTGCTGTTTTAAGATGGAATGTTCTGTATATGTCTGTTAAATCCATATGTTCCAGTGTGTTCTTCAAAGCCATTTTTTCCTTGTTGATTTTCTGTTTCGATGATCTATTACTGTAAGTGGGGTGTTAAAGTCCCCTACTATTTTATTATTGTCCATTACTTCCTTTATGTTTGTTATTAACTTTTATTTTTTTGGGTGTTCCCACATTGGGTGCACAAATATTTACAGTTGTTATATCTTCTTGTTAGATTGTCCCCTTTATTATTATATAGTGTCCTTTGTCTCTTGTTACAGTCTTTGTTTTAATGTTCCTTTTGTCTCGTATACGTGTTCCTACTTTGTCTTTCTTTTGACATCCATTTGCATGCTAGATGTTTCTCCGTCCCCTCACTTTTAATCTGCAAGTGTCTTTAGGTCTGAAATGAGTCTTTTGTAGGCAGCATATAGATGGGTATTGGTTTTTTTTCATCCATTCTGTCAGCCCATGTCTTTGATTGGAATGTTTAGTCCACTTACATTCATAGTAATTATTGATAGTATATATTTATTGTCATTTTATGACTTGTTTTATGGTTATTTCTAAAAATCTTCTCTGATGCTTTCTTGCCTTTCTGTCTTTCATGGTGTGCTGGTTTTCTTTAGTGATATATTTGGATCTTTTGTATATTTATTAATGGTTTTTGCTTTGTGGTTACCATTGGTTTTGTATATAATATTTTCTGCATATCACAGTCTATATTGAGTTGATGGTCATTTAAGTTTGAACCCATTCTTTACTCATCTCCTCCCCACATTTTAGGTGTATGGTGTCATATTTTACATACTTTCATTTTGTGAGTTCCTTGATTGATGTTTTACAGAAACCTTCATACCGTGATTTTTGGTCTCTCCTTTCCACTTAAAGAGTCCTCTGTAATATTTTATGCAGGGCAGGTTTACTGGTCATGAATTCCTTTAGTTTTTGTCTGGGAAACTCTTCTCTCTCCTTCTCTTCCCAGATGTTAGCCTTGCTGGATAGAGTATTCTTGGCTGCAGGTTTTTCCCATTCAGCACTTTGAATTTATCATGCCACTCCTTTCTGGCTTGGAAAGTTTCTGCTGAAAAATCCCGATAACCTATTGGGGTTTCCTTTGTGTGTAGCTGTTTTCTCTTCTCTTGCTCCTTTTAATGTTTTTCCTTTTATCACCATATTTTGCCATTTTAATGACAATATGTCTTGATGTGGATCTGCTTTTATTGATTTTGTTGGGGGTTCTCTGGGCCTCCTGGATCTGGATATCTGTTTCCTTCTTCAGATTAGGGAAGTTTTCAGCTATTATTTCTTCAAATAAATTCTCTGCCCTCTTTTCTCTCTCTTCTTCTGAGGCTCCTATAATACTAAAGTTATTAAGTTTCACAGAGTCATTGAGTTCCCTAACTCTATTCTTGTTTTTTTTGTAATTCTTTTTTCTCTCTTTTGTTCACCTTGATTACTTTCCACTGCTCTGTCTTCTAGGTCATTAATTCATTCCTTTGCTTCTTTTATGAACAGCCTGCTGTTCATTCAATCAAGTGTGTTTCTCATGTGCCCTCTACCTCTATGTTATTACTTATCTGTGTATTAATGTAATGGTCTCATGATGTTCTCCACTCTTCTCAAGTCCAGTGAATATCCTTATGATTACTGCTTTAAATTCTCCATCAGGCATGTTATTTATATCTGTTTTGCTTGTATATCTGGCCATGACCTTGTCCTTTTGTTCATTTGGGAGAAATTCCTCTGTCCTTTCATTTTGTGTAAGTCTCTGTGCCTGTTTCTGTGTTAGGAAAGTCAGGGTTCTTGAGTGTAATGATTTATGAAGAAGACATCCTGGAGTGCCCTGCTGTGTAGTGTCCCCTGTTCCCCAGGGCCTGGCACTTCTGTGAGTGTCTCCAGTATGTGTTGCATATGCTCTGCTGTTGTGTTGTCACCACTTTATCCTTCAGGCCAGTTATCTGCAGAGGTTCTCTTTCCCTGCTGTGGGCAGCGTTTTGAACCCTGGCCTGAATGTGATGTGTTTTAACTAGGTGTTCTTTTGTGGAATGAGACCTGTCACCTCCTCCATCAGGACCAAGGCCTTGCAAAACTCCCAGGTTGGGAGACAGGATGTGGGCAGGGGTTTGGGCCTGTCTTTTGGGGGTGGGGCCTGCTGCACTGGGACTGAGGCAAGTGAGACTGGGAAGGGTAGTTCCACCAGAGTATGGGGAGTGGGGTTTGGTGTAAGCAAGTTAGGTAGCAAGTGTTTGTGCTTCTCTGGTTCCTGCAGGTGGCTCTGTGTTTATGCTAAGGGGTGGGGAAGGGAAATGGTGCCTGCCAATTCCTTTATTCCCAGAGGGGTCTCTGTGAATGTTGACTCTGTGGGATAAGCTTCTGAGATGAGCAAGTAACCTCCTCATTGTGTGCCCCAGGCACTCTTCAGATCACTGTTTTAATGCTGTACTTCACAGGCTGTTTGCCCTGCCTTTTCTCCAAGAGCAGCCCCAGTGCCTGCAAGCTCTCCCATAGCCAAGCATGGTGACCTTTAAAATTCCTGACTTTAAGCCCTGCTGGTTGCAAGAACTCATGAAATTCGGGCCCTCTCACTTTCTAAGCCAATTGCTATGGGCATTTGTCTTCCCTTTGCACTCCCCTGTATGTTAGTCTGTCTCTTTCCCTCCTCTGTGACCATGATTCCCTCCCCACCTCTGTGGCCATTATATGTTTCCCCAGTTAGCATCTCCACTCTCCTAGCCTCCTCGATGTGGCCTCTTCTCTACCTTTAGTTGTGGAGTTTGTTCTACTGGTCTTCAGATCAATTTCTGGGGAATTTTGGGTGATTTGATAAGTCATCTAGTTGTATTTGTGGGATGAGGTGAGCCTAGGGTCCTCATATTCAGCCACCATCTTCCACTCCATGGAGCCACTTGAGATGGTCATATGATTTTTATCCTTCATTTTGTTAATGTGGCATATCACATTAATTGATATGTGAATATTGAACCAGCCTTCCATCCCTGGAGTAAATCCCACTTGATCATGGTGAATGATCCTTTTAATGTATTGTTGAATGCAATTTGCTAATACTTTGTTGAGGATTTTTGCATGTATGTTCATCAGGGATATTGGCCTGTAGTTTTCTTTTTTGCAGTGTTCTTGTCTGGTTTTGGCATCAGGGTAATGCTGGCCTCATAGAATATATTTGGAAACTTCCTTTTCTGCTTTTTAGAATAGTTTGAGGAGAATAGGTATTAACTCTATTTTCTTTTAAAGGTTTATTTTATTTATTTTAGGGAGAGAATGCTCAAGCAGGGGGAGGGGCAGAGGGAGAGGGAGAGAGAATCCTCACGCAGACTCCTTGCTGATCATGGAGCCCAACGTGGGGCTCAGTCTCAGGACCCTGAGATCATGACCTGAGCTAAAAATCAAGAGTCCACCACTTAACTGACTCAGCCACCCAGAACCCTCCTCCCCCCCAACTCTTTTTGAATTGATAAAATTAACCTGTGAATCCATCTGGCCATGGGCTCTTGTTTTTTTGGAGTTTTTGCTTACTGATTCATTTTTGTTCCTAGTAATTTGAATGTTCAGGTTTTCTATCTCTTCCTGATTCAATTTTAGAATATTCTAGGAATTTATCCATTTCTTCTCCATTATCCAGTTTGTTGGCATATAATTTTTTATAGTAGTCTCTTATAATCCCTGTATTTCTGTGGTGTTGGTAGTTACTTCTTTTCTTTCCTTTTTGATTATATTTATTCAGGTTCTCTCTCTTTTTTTCCTTCATTGGCTTAAGGTTTATCAATTTTCTTTATCTTTTCAAAGAAGCAGCTCTTGGTTTCATTGATCTTTTCTTTTTTTTTTTTTTGGTCTCTATTTCATTTATTTCTTCTCTGGTTTTTATTATTTCTTTCCTTCTACTAAATTAGAGCTTTGTTTCTCTTTTTCTAGTTCCTTTGGTGTAAGGTTAGATTGTTTAATATTTTTCTTATTTCTTGAGGTAGGCCTGTATCATGAATTTCCTGTTAGAACTGCTTTTGCTGCATCCTGAAGATTTTGGACCATAGTGTTTCTATTTTAATTTGTCTCCATGTATTTTTTTATTTCCTCTTTGATTTGTTGTCTCATTCATTGTTTTGTAGCATGTTATTTAGCTTCTGCATGTTAGTGTTTTTCCTTGCGATTGATTTCTAGTTTCATACCATTGTGGTTAGAAAAGATGCATGCTTTGACCTCAGTCTTCTTAAATTTATTAAGACTTGTTTTGTTACTTAACATGTGATTCTGGAGAATTCCATGTGCATTTGAAGAGAATGTGTTTTCTCTTGTTTTTGGATTCAAGATTTATATTATGTTAAGTTCATCTGGTCTAATGTGTTGTTCAAAGGCACTGTTTCTGTATTGAT